CCGAAAAATATGCTGCGGATTGTTCCAATGACCTCAGGCGGGGTCCGGCCTGGCTACATTTCCCGATCCACACTATCTACAAACTATAAATAGGACATCGTACTACGTCGAAGCGCAGTATTTCCGGAGGGTCAAATTAGCCCTTTACAATATTCATGTGATTGGTACGTGCCCGTAGACGCTCCGGCCCCTATCGACTCGGAGATCACGGGACCGCCAAATTCACTTTTTTATTTTCACATAGTGTAGAAAGCATTGATTTTATTATTATATTAATTCCTGATGATTTTTTCATAGAATCTTATATATTACGAATAATTTAAGCCTAAAACTTAAAAAAAAACTTAAATTGGAATCCTAATATTGGCTTTAAATGAAAAATGGTTTTACGTATATTTTGACCAATCAATGTCGTACATATAAGACATGTAATTATGCACAATGCTCCCATTGTTGTATAAAGATGTGTCACACCTATAAGGGTCAATAATATCTATAGAGGAAAAAAAAAAACTTCTCAATGCCGCAAATATCAACTGAATGCCTCGAAGAAATTTTTAAATATTTAGAAAACGATCATAATTCATTGTTTTCATGTCTTTTAGTGGAACATTCATGGAGTCGTATCGTGATTCCAATACTTTGGAGTGAACATTGGGAAAAAGCAAACGGTAAATTGATTGAAACATATATAGCTTGTCTTGATGAATCTGATAGGGATATATTATTAGAGGAAGGCGTTGATCTTCCAGATAACCCTGCTCCTTTATACAATTATCCAAGATATTTAAAGAAACTTGATCTTGGATTACTTGAAGACATAATTTATGGTTGGCTTACTGAGGATGGTCCTTTAGAACCTGATGAATTAAATCAAGTTACCTCGGTGATGTATATAATCTGTAAACTTATTATAGATAACTGTGATGGATTGTATAACTTGGAGATCGGCGATTGGAAGGAAAATTATAATATTCCTGACATTGCACCTCTAAAAGGTGCTCGTAGTGCTTTTGTCAATCTGCGTAATTTTCAAATTCATGGAACCTGCAACATGGCATCCGCTGAAGTATTGGACAATATTTCAAATCTTTTAACTGTAATGACTCATTTTTCAAATAACATACAATCAATGAAAATAGATTGTTGTCATTGTGATTTTCGATTAGGTAAAAGGTTATGCGCATTGATCGAATCTCAATCTAACCTTCAACATTTATTGATCGAAGATTCTAGTGGGGATTCTACTTTAACTCCAAGTCTTAATTCCGCTTTTTCAAGTCAATTCAGTTATTTAAAGAATGTAACTATCTCTGGATTACCTCTTGATAATACATTCCTGATAAACTTGGCAAATTGTAAAAAACTTGAATTATTGAATATTTTTCATTGTCGAAATGTAAAATCGTTCGATTCTATATTACACCAAATTGAACAACCATATCAACTTCCTTTATCGAAATTTGCTTGTTTACATAATTCCATTAATACCGTATTTATTTTGGATATTTTTGAGATGTCAAAAAATAATTTATCCAAATTAATCTTGGATAATGTTGAATCAAATATGATCGAATTTGTGGGCAATCATTGCAAAAATCTCGAATATTTGGCTATTAATATTAATCCAGAAATCATTAAATCGATTCATTTATTAACGAACCTTAATATTAAATATTTCAATTTTTATTCCCCTTCGACCTCAACCGTTACAACTCTTTCCACTGACCTATTAAAACTACTTGGTCTATCATTACCTCTAAATTTAGATTCCCTTGATTTGGATTTTAGTATTACTCCTGATGGTTTATATGAAATTTTAAACTTTACCCGTGCTAGGATTAAATTTTTAATTCTAAAATTACCACTACCTTTTGATAATATTGTAGGTAATTATAATATTGGGGTTAATGATGAATTTTTAAATATAGTTCTTAAACAAACGATATTTAAAGGTGGAATTTTAAAGGAATTAAGGATAGATAGGGGAGGGGAATTTTTATTGAATATGCATTTTTCAAAAGAGATGTTGGCAAAAGCAAAGGGTATAATTAAAATTAGTCCTGAACTTGATATTCCTTGGAGTACTTTTTAAACAAAAAATTATTATTAGATTTTATGTGCTTTATCATCATTACACAATAATTTGGCTATATAATGTATTTCATGCCTAAACGCATTGAATTTACTTTGTATACATTAAGTGATATAACATTTTAGTAAATTCTCATTCATTTTTCGGTATAGAATCATAGTAAATATATACTGTATATGCCGTGGTGACGAGCAAACCCCAATACAACGCAGGGTTCAGATCTTGAACCATCAGGATGGTTGTAGTGAAACAATAATAGTGATAGTGATTTTACATATTTAAAATTGGGCGCCAAGCATGTGCAATTTCTAGTTTTCAAAGTTTGTGTAATTATCCTATACTCCACATTAACTGTAGATTCAATTGTGAAAATATATGTTCTTTCAGACTTATATAAGTATATGCTAATACTTTTCTATAATGTTATTTATACTTTGGTGTAGTATAATATAAAAACAAATTTAGTATCAATATATAATTGGATATTTTATTTGTTTTCATCTAATAAGAATGACTTATACAAGACATGGTATTTTTAATTAAGTTTTTTGTGAGAGTTTTATATTACAAAACGCAAGGAACATAAATACTGTATTTACCTTTAATCCAATACGATTCTGTATTCTGTTACATCGCAACAATTTTCAATCTTCAATCAGAAACTTTCTGTAACAAAATTTTGCAAGTTTTTTAGTTGGCAATACTAATACAAAACATTATATTCTAATGGTGAATGAAATATTGCGTGGTGGAAAACTTTGGTCTTACGATGAAGGCAAGTAGAATATATAATAGAATATTGTCTCTTGTCGAATGTTATTCTAATTATTATATTTTTTGGAAATATGTAGATATTCGGTATAATGCAGATATTCAGCTTAATGTTGTACATATGGCATATGCAAATGCTACTATATTTCTTGATCAAAATGTTTATCTCACTAGAAATGAACAAGTAGAATTTATGAGAAAGTCAATAGCTGAAAATGAATGCCTCATACAATCAGAAAAAGCCGTTTTGTACAATATTATTGATCTAGAATTTGACCGTTATTATGTTCAAAATCAGAAAGATGAAAAAAACATGCATTAATTGTCAAAATTGGACTAATGCTTTCGTAAATTGTGATCAAAGTATTTAGAGAGCAATTTTACTAATTGGACATCTGGCGATGAGACAGTCGATAATTTGATTAAAAAGTGTCAATCTTCGACAATCAAACCAGATTCAATTGTTAAGTAGATTTTATACGATAGTTTTACAAACATTAAATATAAGACGAGAGGAGGTTCCGCAACTATTTATACTGCTGAATGGGTAGATGGTAGTTTTATAAGTGGAAAATCAAAAACTTCACAGATATTACAGTATTATAGACAGCCGATATTATTTTAGACAGTCGATATTATTATCGACACATGTCATTTTGAAACACCATGGCGAAAATACTAAAAAAATTTCGTTATTCCGTCTGTCGTAAATCATCCATAATTTAGACACCCATGTATAGGCCAGACTAATTAGATTGTGTTTTTACATTACCCATACCTCTGCATCCCTCATTCCCTTATAATAAAAGAAAAAAAAATTAGTTTATAAATACACATAGGGCATGGGTTATTTCGAAAATTTATGAAATATTTTGAAAAAAAATTTTTTTATAAATTTTATTGTTAATAATATAAAACACATAATCTAGTTGGTCTGGCCTTATAAAATGAATACATTTCTTGTAAAATGGAAAGGATTGGAAAGGATTCAAAATAAAAGAATAGATGTTTTATTTCAATAGAGTTTGGTCAGCAAAGGAACAGATAATCTGTTCTTTCTGATCTAAAAAATTTTAGAATTTCGGATGTGCACAATTTATGATTTTTTTTTTGTTTTATCAGTTATCAAATTTAGCCTGTTATTCGATAATTTATCTATAGTATGATACAGTCAACTCTGGTTATAATAAACCCTTTATATAATGAACCTACTATATTATGAACTTTTTTAAAAATTTATTGTAGAGTTCGTTATAGAAACATAGTAAATTCTCGAGGGCTAGAATAGTTTAGGGTAAAGATCGACATATCACGAATTCCCAGAATTCCTATAATTCCTATAATTCTCGAAATTCAGAGAAAAATAGTAATAGTGAGAAAAATTGTAATAGCGAGAAATATTAGAATAGCTAGAAAAATAAGAATTCTCGTTAGTCCATTATATGTAAAGAAGGTGTATATAAACAATGCAAAATTACCTTGAATAAAATTAACTCTTGGAGTTCGAAAAATAAAAACCTTCTGAGTCTTGAATAGTCTTGAAATGAAGTGTTTATTCTTTAATAAATTTCCCTTTGAAATCGTTACAAACATTTTATTGAATCGTTAAATCTTCTCTATCTTGTTCCCGTGGTAATCTTTCGTTGAATTCTGTCCCGAATTATTTTCTCGTTGTTACCAAATCTTTTTTTTGTTAGAGTAAAAGTGCCCGAATTCTTATATCGCATACTCTTTTATAATACCTGTAAATTGATTAAACAATTGATCGATATCGTAATTGTTAAATCGATCCACCAATAACTTTAAATCCCCGTGACACCCGAATTGTAACTAAATCGTGACCAAATCGTGACCTCCGACAAACGTGACCAAGACAATCCATAGACCCAACCCCAATAATCTAAATACCTACCCAAGTAACCCTAACCTCGTACCAAGTTAATCCTCGCCTCTTTCAAGCCTTATCCAAGCTAGGGTTACCTCCTGTGTAACCAAACCTCCGGACGAGTTCTAACCTAGAACCAATCCTCACTTTTTCAACGTACACCATCGAACATGGCTGTAAACCATACCCTTCGTTTCACTCCGTTCCTGGTAAATGTGATATAAATGGGTTCACGGTTCAAGTGTCCCGTATCGGTATATCCATATTATATAGTGTTGGTATTACTATTAAAATCCAAAATACAATAACTGCCTGCATTTCATTATGTGCAATGAAAGAATTATTAACCCCAATTACGTTGCGGTAAAGCCGCCCGCATCTCATCAGTTACGGCAAATTATAAATATAGATAGATAATCGTTATTTTGGTCAACTGTATTAAACTAGGTAACCCACTTAAGTTAGGGTAAGAGGCTGATTTTGTTAGTGCTAGTAAACAAATAACGTCATGTAGATCACTGGGTTAAGTGTCGATTTATCGACACATCAAAATAGTTTCGAAAAGCATCATTAATTACACCATTAACGATTGGTGAAATCATGACATTATTTCACTAGCATCTTTAGTTTCAACTGTATATTTTCGTTCATATAAACAAAATTTTTGTCAATATGAAGACGAGACTAATTTACCAATTTGATTCGGTGCTTTACATTACCCCCCTCTCTTTAGCTCCCTCTCCCTCGTAGTAAAAAATCTTTAGATAAATAATATAAGGAAACGGGCTATGTCGAAAATTTTTATATAGTACGGAACATTTCGGAATTTTTTTTTTTTTTTGAAAATTTTACTATATAAACCTCTCCAAAACCTCTCTTTCTAAGTGGAGATGTAATGTAAATTACCAAATCAAATTGGTCTCGCCTAATTAAAGAAGCTTTCTTAACATATTATCATGGTCTATACTATTTTATTCCTAGCCTTTTTTACAATTATACTTGGCATTGATGCTGCGAAAACAAATGACTATGATTCTAATTTAGACCTCTTTGATTTCGCTGTCAGTTCTGTTATTCCCATTATCGTTTTAGTCATTTATGGACCTGGAAAAGAATTTACTCAAACCATTTATTATTTCATTTACAGTAATATTTTGTTATTCATCACACAATTTCTATATCCGTTTATTCTTTTTAGAATTAGACAAGATATAAATACTCCACTTTGGATTCAAATTTTCTATGCTGTTATCGGCATATTAGAATTTATTTCAACTTCATATATTTTGGGAATAAAGTTATTTGGCACTAAGTGTATGTGGTTCTTTCAGTTTTTTCTTACTTTAGCTCCTTTCTGGATTATGCTTGTCCCACAAGTTAGTTTAATTATAATCTTTTGGGAAACAATTTCCACAACAATTCATTATCCTACTATAATTTTAGGGTTTTTGATTGAATTATTAATTATAAAACTTTTATATAAGAAAATTTCCCTTACGTATTCTATAAATTTTGTTATGTCTATAAATCAAGCTGTTGTACTTATTACGATATACTGTAATAATACTTATTTAACGAAAGCCCTTTTAGCTCTTACAACCTTAGTGGTGACCCGCATATTAGATTACTTTAGTACTGAAATTACTAAAAAGAGTCATTTTCATCCATTTGGTTGCTTTTTGAAAGAGGTTTATAATGCGTTTGACTTAGTTAATAGTGAAAAATGTCCAAAGATAAAGAGATTTATTGAATCTAATATGAAAGATTTTGCAGTTAATGAATCTATAGATGAAAATTCTAAAGGAGATGATGATGGAAAACCTAAAGATGATGAAAAATCTAAAGGTGATGAAAATTTTAAAAGGGATAGTAAATCCAAAGAAGAGATAGATAACGAAATTGTGTAGATATATTTTTCTAAAATTTCTTTAGTCTTTAATTTTATTTTTTATTAATTCTATTTTTATATATTTTTTATTATTTCTATTTTTATATATTTTTTATGATTTCTATTTTTATATATTTTTTATGATTTCTATTTGGACATTTTTAACTGTTAATAGTTACTGGTTATAGTTAACCAGTACTTATTATTAACTAATAATAAATATTATCTGATTTATACTACTGCGCCTATTAACTATAAATAAAAAATAATAAATACTACTGCGCCTATTAATGAAGAATAAATAATATATACTACACCTATTAACGAAGAATAAATAATAAATAATATATTGTTACATCTATTAATCAACAATAAAATACATAGTTGTGCTTATTACTAACCAATAATAAATAATATGTCTATTATTTATCAATAAATAATATATATTATCGTATCTTAATTAATATATAAATCAAAATAAAATGTAGTTGATTATAAGCTTTGTTTTATTAAGCTTTTAGTTAGGGTATTTGCAATGCTTTATACTAAAAAATTTCAGCAAAAAATATTATAATCTTGGATAATTTATGCTTTATCTTATTTGGAAACATTATATATCAAATTTGATAATCAAATCAAACAGAACTTTTTGTCAAACTTGGCAAAAAGTTCTGTTTGATTTGATTATTATTTTGTTTGAATATGGTTACAAATTTGATAGTTAATTAGAGCAATTAAATCTTTGTTTATTAAAATAGCATCTTAGTTGAAACATAATATTATATATATCTTATTCAATCAAAATATCAATTAAATTAAAGCAAGAAGTTTTGTTTGATTTGATTGTTATTTTGATTATAGTTAACTACAAATTCAATACAAAACAAAATAGTAATACAATCACAACTATACATATGCCTTGAAGACACTAGAACTCCAAAATACTGCTTCTGGACTAACTAGTGCCTATACTAACCCTCTACGATCAAGTTGAAGTTTTTCTTTCCTACATAGTTTTTTGATAAATATTCTATTAAATAAGAAAATAGTAGAGTAATTCTTATTTAGT